GAACTCTATCTCCAACTACAGAGGTACTTGTAAATCCATATTCATTCATGCTCTATACACAGTATCCAGGAAATGACAATAGTCCAGACAGACATCAACTCAGAAAAGTATAATGACAATGTGGCACAACTACAGAATTGAATATTTCACATCCGTTAAGCAATATGAAACTGCAAAATTCATGGGGAAAGGATGGATTTGGAAACATCATTCTGAGTGAGGTAACACAAGTGCCAAAAAGTGAACATGATTTCATTCCTGTCATTTGTAGATGTTAGGCTTCCCTATTCAAATATCTGTGTTCCATTTGGAATACCCACAGAGGTTTAAAATTACCATGTGGCCATGGGGTAGAATCATCAAGATAGAAGACACAGTATGCAGTGGTAGAAAGGGTTAAAGAAATCTATGGCTCAAGAAAGGTTAAAATGGGAAATGAGGGATTTAAGGATGAAGGAGAAGAAGGAAAACGGGAGGAATCAAGAACACTGAAGGATTTTCAGCAAGTCATATGGAAATCTACCACTCAGACATTTCTTAAAATAAACTATGCACATATATAGAAGGAGTTGAGATGGAGTTGCCCTCTACTAAGAGAACAATATCCCTGCTAGACACCACAGGGTAAAAAAATGCCTAGCACCAGGAATTTGTTTGATTTTTGAGGTGTTGTCCAGTGAGGTCCCTAAACATTACAGGTCATTGTCAGTTCTCTTGTCTACTGTCCACAACATGATGGCGACAACCTATTAGTGAAGACACCTTATACTTGAATTAGAGAACATGAAGAGATCTAGCTGACACAAATCAGAAGCTTCTTTGCTACTGGCTAGCTTTCATACTGCAAGAACGTTCTATCCACAATACCGGGGCAGGGAGTAATCATTAATCATAATGAGCTAGGAACTCTGTGAGCTAAAATGATGACTGGCCAGACAAGATAAACCTACCAGAGTCATGGTGACAAAAATGTCTTGGGTATAACCAACTGCTTACTGATCAGATTGAATAGTCACTCCAGCAGATGAAACCTGTATCTGGGCAAGAATCTAACGCTAGACAGATGATAGTCCTGGGTGAGAATTACTATTATTATTATGATAAACATTCATAATATTAAGTCATTTCATAATGAGCGACCATTATACACATATAATAAGGCATCTCTGAACCCTTATCATGGAAGATTGTGTTTGCAATAGATGGTTGTCAGTTGAGAGACACACAAGTGGGAAACAAGAATATACTAGGACATGGAGGAATATCTAGGTCCTAACTGAATATGTTACTTCTACCTCCTAATGCACAGGAAAGGTTGTGGAACAGGGGCTGAAAAGACTGTCAGAGCTAGAATTGGTGGATGATGGCAGGGAAACAATGACTTCTGGACACAGCAGGGCAATTCCACATGTGAATTCACCATGGTTGTGATAGCATCTGTAAGTTCTGTCAAGCCCAAGCTAGTGTGAAAACCAGCATAAACCGGGTGTTGAGAATGACAAGAATTAATGCACATGAATTTACACTCATGAGAAAATAAGGTTGTAGTCATAGGGAAGTAAAATAAGTTGTGTCTTGGATGTTACTATATTTGGCATCTGCACAGGATCCTAGTCTATGTATTTATTGTATTATTGTTAAGGGAGCATTTGTGAAGTCAGGGATCAGAAAAATTATCATTCAAGAATTGTGTTCTTGCCTATATAGGAAACTGCTTTTCTGTGTTCCCACTCAGGTTCCAAACTATACTTTCGAGACATACTTGATGATTTCAGGACTGTATAGCATTTACTGAGAAGAAATGAAGAGATACTAGAATGCGAAAGGGCTGATAGTTTTATTTTCTCTTTCTTCTTCTTGGAAATGCAAGAAATTCTGAAGAACAATGAGATCTATAAACATTAATGATTGGCTAACACACACTTAGAAGGAAGGGGCAGAAGTCAGAGATTGTACAAAATCTGTCCCTTAAGCTTAAGTCTGTGAATGATTTGATATGAGAGAAACAAAAAGTGGAGGCTCCCAGGTGACAGTGGGGATTTCCTGTCTCCTTAACTAAGAGTGAGTTCCATTCTCCTGCCTAGTGAGGAATTAGAGACAGGTTTGTGGAGAACAAAGAGAAGAAATATGAGATATGAGCTAAGTAGCCAACAATTAAACTCAGGTCTTTAAGCCTGTCAATAACTGTTTCTACCGGCTGAGTAATATTACTGAACTAAAACATTTTTATTTGACACATGTTTCCAAGTAACCCAGACAAGCCTCTAACTCACTCGGTACCAAGGATGACCTGGAAGCACAGATCCTCTTAGCTCTACTTCCTGACTAACAAAATTATAGGGATCCACAAGCAACTGCATTTGATGAGGGGTTGGGGGTGAAACTCAAGGCCTTATTCATGTTATGAAATCTCTCAACCAGCTGACCAATGTTCCCAGTGCATAGTTAGATTGCTTTCATAAAATAAATCATTTAAAAGAAAATAGTGAGTCGAAATAATTACTTGAGAACACTGAAATGTTTGTGTTGAAGAAATGGATTTGAACATGGACTTTAAGGGTAAAGAACTTGTATATCATTGCAAGCTTATATTCTTCATGGAGATTAACCTCCAAGTCATGAAAAGGACGTAAGGAAAGTAAACCTAGGCAAATACAGAATTATTTCAACAAAACACAATTAACAGAACTTACTGAAATCTTTTGAAAACAAAAGTAAAACAAATTAGATTCATGTGACCATGAGAGTTTTGGCATTGATTAAACACTGATGTCAAGTATCATTCATTGTTTTATATATATATTTCCGTGTGTAAAAGTAGGTTTATGTTGACTAAGTTTCTATCCATTGAAGGCAGACACTTAAGGAAGTGTACACAGATGGAGCAGACATTTGATGGCACATACAATACTCTAGGCAGGTTAGATGCAACAGAGTTGCTCATGTTTTTACGCTTGCTGATGATGACAAAAGGACTCATGCAGGTTTTTATACTATTTTCTTTTGCATTACTTAAGTTCATTTTTCATAATGAACGGTTTAATTGAGAACTACTAGAAATTTGTTCTAGTTCCTTTCTATTGCTTTTATAAACACCATGACCAAAAGCATTGTGAAAAAAAAAACAGTTTTGTTACATTCTGATCACAGTCCATCACTTGGGGAATCAGGGCAGAAACTCTGCAGGAGTAGATGCAGGAACAATGGGAGAACGCTTTTTACTGGCTTGCTCCCCATAGTTCAAAGTTGTGGAATAATCTTTTGTAAAATATGAAGATGAGTCATTGCAAGGCATCTTCTGAGGAGTTTAACAAAAAGCTAAATGGCCATGATGCATGCAGGAGAGATAGGCAGGACAGCCAGACAGAGAACTCTGGGAGGAAGAAAAGCAGAGTCACCAGCAGTCAAACAGGGAGCAGCATTTCAGTACAGAGTAAAGGTAAATGAGCCACGTAAAACAATGTAGATGAAAATCTGGGTTAATTCAATTTATAAGATCTAATTAGAACCAAACCTAGGCTATTGGTGTGCTTTTATAATTAATTATAAGTCTTCATGTCATAATTATAGAGCTGGGAGTCCCAAGGAAAAAGTCTGATTAAAGTTCAATAATACTTTCTTAAATTACCCAGGACCACCTGCCCAGAACTGGGACCTCCCACATCAAACATCAATATAGAAAGTGCCCCATAGGCATTCCCACAGTTCACTCTGATGAAGGCAATTTCTCACATGAGGATATCTCCTCCAAAAGGACTATATCTTGCATCTTGCTGACAAAAAAAAGCATAAATACATGGTAAATAGTCAACTTCAGAACATACCTGAGGCTATAGCATAGAGAACCCAGTGCTAAGTACAAAGCCATCTTCCATCTCTTTCAACTTACTCTCCCTTCCTTCTTCCAGGGCACACTTCCAACACAGCCATGTGTCAAGCCTTCCTGATACAGCTAAGAAAGAAGATAATGGAGATATGGAGTCCAGCTTCACTTCTTATTATAAGAAGATTAAGACAGGCCTGGCGGTGGTGGCCCACGCCTTTAATCCCAGCACTCAGGAGGCAGAGGCAGGCAGGTATCTGTGAGTTCGAGGCTGGGCTGGAGTGATAGCCTCCAAAACAATACAGAGAAACCCTGTCTCCTAAAAACAAAAACCAAAAAAAAAAAAAAAGAAGAAGAAGATTAAGACAGAAAACACAATCATTCCTCAGGAAACCATCCATTCAATTGAGTTACACCTGACAAAAGGAGACATTCAGGAGACAAACTGTGCAATCACTGATGTATTAAAGAAAACTGATAACATCCCAATAAACATCACTATGACAGGAGAGTCTGGAGCAGGGAAGAGGGCTGAAGAAGACTGTCAGAGCCAGAGTTGGTGGACAATGGCAGGGAAACAATTTCTTCTGGACACAGCAGGGCAGTTCCACATATGAACTCACCAGGGTTGTGACAGTACCTGTAAGACCTGTAAGCCCAAGCTCCATAGAAATCCAGCATGGGCAGAGGAGTTGAGAATGAGAGGAATTAATGAACATGAATTTACAATCTTGGGGGAAAAAAAAGGTTGTAGTCAGACAGAAATAAAATGAGTTGTGTCTTGGATGAGACTAAATTGGCATATGCACAGGACCCAAACAATGTGCTGTGTCATCATTTCAGGCTGCATTTGTGAAGTCAGCAATCAGAAAAATTATCTTTCAAGGATCCTTTTCCTGTGTATCTAGTAAGCTGGTTCTCCATGTTCCGTGTTTCCAAATGACACATGCCACTCATTTATTATTTCTTAGCTTTGCCACCAAGAAATTAATAGATGACAGAATATAAAGTCAACACTTTCAATTTCTCTTTCTTCTTCTTGGAAATGAAGGAGATTCTTAAAAACAACAAGACCCATATGTTTTAATGATTGGCCAAAACGCACAGAGAGGGGAGGGCCAGAAGTCAGAAGAGTGTATAAATCCTGACCACCTTCCTCCATCCTACTGCTTTTCCACGAAGAAGCAGAGGTGGGTTGCAAGTGAAGACATTGGAGCACAGTGGAGCGTGGTTCCTGCAGCTGAACTACAGGGAACACAGACACCGGCACCAGACACAGGATAATCTGGTAAGTGGGCAAGAGCAGTCAGATCTAACTTCAAACACACACCATCTCTTCTCTCATAAGACTGATATGTAACAAGACATTTAGGAACATGCCATGAGAGTGGGGATCCTCAGGTTGGAAGCTTGGGGGCTTTGATGGGAGACAGACAGGACAGTCTTGTGGATGGCCTTAGCCAATTATGCAAGATGAAGTAGCCCTAAAGTCAAATGATGCTGATGTAGTTTTGGCACAAAAAAAATCCGGTAGTTTGTGCTTGTCTCTTATTCCTCTCCCTAAAATGGTTGTGAATAGATGATTCAGAAAATGGAATATATCTGCAATGTGCATAATGTTGTTGTATCTGAAACATAATAAAAGGATGGTGAATGATAGATTCAGGCACATATTTACATCCTAATTTGAATGTAAATCCTAAATCAAAACCTAGAGAAAGGTGATTAATAGCCATGTGGCTAGGGCCTAGGCCCTGCCCTGAATGAAATGACAGTCACTGGGCCTCACCCTCCCTGGGGATCGGAGTGGAGATTGGGTGGGGGACTGGTGAACCTGGTGAGAAGGGCGTGGGAGGAGGGGAGGGAGAGGGAGCTGGAATTGACATGTGAAACAAGATTGTTTCTAACCTAAATTTAAAAATTAAAACAAAGTTTAATGTCCTTAGCAATGCGGGAAGTACAAAATAAACTACTTTGAAATTTCATCTTTACCCCAGTCAGAATGGCTAAAATCCAAAAAAACAAATGATGATGAATGTTAGCATGGATATGGGAAAGGATGCACAAGTGACCTGCTGGTAGGAGTGCAGACGGATGCAGCCACCACGAAAAAATAGTGTGGAGGTTCCTCAAAAAAGTCAAAAATAAATCTCCTGTGTGGTTCAACTACAAAAAAAATAGCCATGTGGCTACTGGGAAAGAGCACAAAGAAGGGAAGCAGTCACCAAGTCCTGAGATGAGAAGACAGCCTGAGATAACAGAGAGGCTAGAATTCAAACACCATCAGCTTCAAACATGTAATAATAAAGTTGAAAGATTTATTGAATGTAGTGTGTGCACTGTATATATAATGAATGTTCACTGACTGAAATGGGAATCCTTACGGTATTTCTCAGAATAGATATGACAGGGAGTCAGTGTCAACAGGATTACTCTGGCAATTTAATAATTCATATTATTACAAGAACAGTCCCAGGAAGTATAGTAATGTCAATGACATCAAAGATGGGATTGAGGAGATCTTGAAGAAGATAGTGTAGATGGAATGACCAATTGTGATTGGATTTGGAAATCAAGCATAAGTTTGTGACCTGATTAGACAGACAGAGGAGGCTCCAGGGTGATAGTGGGGATTTGTTGAGTTTCCTTAGATAATGGTGAGGTCCAATGTGCTGCTAAATAAAGTTGGAAATATGAGATCTGAATTAGATAAATAGCCAACAAGCAAACTCAGGTCCTTAGGCCTAGCAGCAAGTGTATTTACCTGAGGAGCCATCTTACTAGACTTGTTACTAATTTTTTTTGATACAGGGTCCCAAGTAATCCAGGCTAGCCTCTAACTTACTGTGTACCAAGAAAGACCTTGATGTACTGACCCTCTTAGCTCTACTTCCTGAGTACCAGAGTGTCAGGGATCTGCAAACACATGCATTTAATAAGGTATTGGGGATTGAAGCCAAGGCCTTATTTATGCTGGGAAAGCTATCTATCACCTGGCCATTATCTCCGGTGCACAGTTACATTACTTTCATAAAATGTTTAAAAGAAAATAGTGAATCCAAGTAATTACTCCAGAAGAAACACTTGCATTACAGAAATGTATTTTCACCTGGACTTTAAGGGTAAAGAACTTTCAGATTAATTCAAGTTTATATTCTTCATGGAGATGAGTTCCAAATAATGAAAAAGACATAGGGATAGTGAACCTAGAAAAATTAAAAATTACTTTAACACAACACAATAGCTGAAATTACTGAAATCTTTTGAAAACAAAAATGACACACAAAATAGATTTAAGTAATGAATAGAGATTTGGTGTCAATTAAACACTAATGTCAGTTATCATTCATTGCTATTGATTTCTTAGTATGCAGAGCTAGACTATGTTAAGTTTCCATTCATTTGAAGGTATGCACTGAAGGAAGTATGCACAGATGGAAAGGATATCTTGGATTTGATACACAATACTGCAATTAGGTTAGATGAAACACAGTTGATGATATTTTTATTTTATAGTTGTCAATGCTGGCTAAAGGACACATGCAGACTTTATATTATTTTCCCTTATTTAAGTTTTAAGATTTCCATAATGAGGGGTTTAATTGAGAGCTAGTACAAGTGTGTTCTAGTCCACAGAATGGAAAAAGATCTTCACCAACCCCTCCATCAGATAGAGGACTGATTTCCAAAATATACAAAGTACTCAAGCTAGTCACCAAAAGTCCAAATAATTCAATTAAAAAGTGGGGTACAGAACTAAATAGAGAATTCTTAATAGAGGAATCTAAAATGACTGAAAGACACTTAAGAAAGTGCTCAGCAGCATCCTTAACCACCAGGGAAATGCAAATCTTAACAACTCCGAGATATCATCTACACCCATTAGAATGACTAAAATCAAAAATACCCAGGAGAGTTTATGCTGGAGAGGATGTGGAGAAAAGGAAATGCTTCTCCATTGCTGGTAGGAGTGCAAACTTGTACAGCCACTTTCAAAATCAGTATGGTGGTTTCTCTGGAAAATGGGAACCAGTCTACCTCAAGATCCAGCAATTTCGCACTTACGCATATACCCAAAGAAAGCACATTCATACAACAAGGACATCTGTTCAACTATGTTTGTAGAAGCATTATTTGTAATAGGCAAAACCTGAGAGCAACCTAGATTCCCCTCAACTGAAGAATGGATAGAGAAAATGTGGTACATTTACCACTCAGCGGTAAATAAATTAATTAGTTAGTTAATTAAAAAAACAATGGAATCTTGAAATTTGTAGGCAAATGGATGTAACTAGAAGAAACCATCCTGAGTGAGGTAATTCAGTCACAGAAAGACAAACATGGTATGTACTCACTCATATAAGGACATTAGACATAGAGAAAAGAATTGCCAGTCTAAAATTCACACTTCCAGAGATGCTAGGAAACAAACAAGGAGGACTATAAGAGAGACATACAAGGTCCCCCAGTGAAGCTGAAAGGCACAGGAGTCCCTGAACAAACTGGGAGCATAGGGGAGGGGGAGGGAGGTAAGATAAACAGGAGGGGAGAAAAGAAGGGAAGAGGAAAACATGAGGGATCAGGAAGATTGAATGGGGAAAGAAATAGAGGATAACAAGAAAAGAGACATCAATAAAGGGAGCCACTATAGGTTTAAAGAGAAATCTGGACTAGGGATTTGTACAGAGATCCACAAGGATGACCCCAACTAGGAACCTAAGCAATAGTGGAGAGGCTACCTTAAATGCCCTTCTCCTATAATGAGAATGATGACTACCTTAAATGCCATCCTAGAGCCTTCATCCAGTAGCTGGTGGAAGCAGAAACAGAGATCCACAGCTAAGCACTGGGCCAATCTACTGGAACCCAGTTTCAGAGAGGGAGGAGTGAGGAACAAAGGAGTCAAGACCACGCTGGGAAAACCCACAGAAATCTGCTGACCTGAGCAAGTGGGAACTCATGAACCCCAGTCTGACAGCTGGGGAACCAGCATAGAACCAAACCAGGCCCCCTGAACATGGGTGTCAGCTAGGAGCACGGGGCAGTGCATGGGACCACTGGCAGTGGAACCAGGATGTGTCCCTAGTGCATGAACGGATTTTGGGAGCCTATTTCCCATGGAGGGATACGCTCTTAGCCTAGATACACAGGGGATGGCCTAGGCCCTACCCCAAATGACTTGACAGATTTTGATGATCCTTCATGGAAGCCCTCACCCTCCCTGGGGAGTGGATAGGGAATGGGATGTGGGGGTTAATGGGGGGCATGGGAGGATGGGAGGTAGAGGGAACTGGGATTGATATGTAAAATAAGATTGTTTCTAATTTAAATAGAATTTATAAAAATAATTAAATAAAATTAAATTTAAATTAAAAAGAATGTAGATTCAAAGATATGTATTAATTTAAACTATAATGGCTAGTTAGCAACAAGACTAAGCTGTCAGCTGATCTTTTCTAATTAATAAGTCTCCATGTTAATAACTGGGGAGCTGGTGAGCCAATGAAAAATTCCAACTACAGTTCATTAACACTTTCTTAAATTACCCAGGATCACCTGCCCAGGGGGGTGCCATCCACAATATTCAATACTCAATACAGAAATGCCCTATAAGCATCCCAATCCAATCTGATGGAGGCAATTTCTCAAATGAGGTTTTCTCCTCAAGAAGGCTATAGCTTGTATCTTGTTGACAAAAAAGAAAGTACAAATACATGGAAACTAGTTAACATCACAACATAACTAAGGTTGCAGCACAGAGAACACAGTGCTAAGCACAAAGGCATCTTCAGTTGCTTGCAACTCACTCTCCTTTCCTTCTTCCAGGGCACTCTTCCAACACAGCCATGGGTCAGTTATTCTCTGCTCAGGATGAAGACCATGGAAATTCAGAGATCAACTACACTGCATATTTTAAGAAGATTAAGAAAGAAAACACAATCATTCCTCAGGAAACCATCCATTTAATAGAATTTCATCTGAAAAAGGGAAACATTCTGGGGGCAAACTCAATAATCAGTGATGCATTGAAAAATATTGATAGTGCCCCAATAAACATTGCTGTGACAGGAGAGTCTGGAGCAGGGAAGTCCAGCTTCATCAATGCCCTGAGGGGAGTTGGGACTGAAGATGAAGGTGCAGCTGCAGTTGGGGTAACAGAGACAACAATGAATATAACTTCATACAAACACCCCAAAATCAAAACTTTGACTTTGTGGGACCTGCCTGGCATTGGAACTATGAACTTCCTGCCGAAAGAGTATCTGGAGAAAGTGCAATTCCAAAAGTATGACTTCTTCATTATTGTTTCTGCCACACGTTTTACAAATCTTGAACTAGACCTTGCCAAAGCAATCAGATTTATGAAAAAAAATTACTACATGGTGAGAACCAAGATAGATGCTGATTTACAAAATGAAGAGTCTACCAAACCGCGTACCTTTGACAGAGAAAATACCCTGCAGAATATCCGAAGATACTATGTAGATAACTTTAGTCATAACAACATGGATGCACCACAGATTTTCTTGATCTCTAGCCATTATCTGTCTGACTATGATTTTCCAGTCCTGATGGACACCCTGACACAGGATCTTCCTGCTCAGAAACGCCACAACTTTACACTTTCCATGACTAATATTACAGAGGCAGCCATTGACAGAAAGCGCGAGTCTATGCAGCAAACTATCTGGTTAGAAGCCATCAAGGATGGAGTTTTGTCTGCTGCTCCTGCAGTGGGTATCCTCAGGGATAATATGAAAAACCTGAAGGCAAGATTAAACCTCTACCAAGAATGCTTTGGAGTGGATGATGAATCCATGGAATTCATGGCCAAGAATTACCAAGTGCCTGTTGAAAAACTGAAAAAAATCATTAAATCTCCTTATTTATTGGAAACTAAGGAAGAAGAAACATTAGGAGAAACATTTTTGAAATATTTGGAGAAATTTGCCTCAGCTAATGGTGGGTTCCTTGCTGCAGGTCTTTACTTTAGGAAAACCTTTTACTTGCAACACATCTTCCTTGACACGGTGACTGAAGATGCCAAAGCTCTCCTTAGAGAGACATATTTAAAAAACTAGCACAAATTCAGCTCACCCACTGCCTCTGACCATGACAACATCAAAAGATTAACTCCAGGGAGTGATATATAAATTCCCCTTCTGATATGTTTCTCTTTACATTAGCCAATCCACTACTACCATGGGAAAACCTAAAGATATGGACCATGTAATGGGGGATGTCCTTCTGTATATATGTTTCTCTTATTGATTGATGAATAAAACACTGTTTGGCCAATAGAGGCAGGAAGATAGGTGGGATTCAGAGACAAGGAGAATGCTGAGGAGAGAGGCAGACAGGCACCATGAGGAGATGCCATATAGAGACCAGAAAAACAGGACTTGCCAGGTGCTCTCTGTTAAGATAAGGCCATGTATAATTACATAGATTAGTAGTTATGGGTTAATAATCAAGACAGAGCTAGCCAATAAGAAGCCCTAGATATTGACCAACAGATTTATAATTAATATAGCATCTGTGTGTTTATTTGATGCTATGGGATCAAATTCTTAATATGTCAGAGTTGGACAACCCCAATCCCTCTTTACTTCTCTACATCCCTCTCTTTCCTTCAACCCCACCTTCATGCTTGAATACACACACACACACACACACACACACACACACATGAATGAATGAACACATGCCCATATACAATACCCAAACATGTGCAAGCACACACACACAAAAGATTTTAATAGCTATTTTGTAGCTTTTTCTTCACAATCAAATGATTTCAATGAAAACTCAGGAAGTCAGAGGCTCTATACTCAGTGCACAAATCACTTGCCATGCATGTGTGAGGACCACAGTTCAATTTCCAGAACGCACATAAATGTTGTCTTGGTGTTGCAATCATTTTGTACTTCCACACTCAGAAGACAAGAACAGCGAAACCATGGAGAAGCCGGCTTCCTAGACTGTGTAGATCTACAAGCTCAGGATTCAGTTGAGAGATCCTGCCGTGCTGAAAAAGGAAGAAAGTAACAGAGGTGGAGACTCAACATACTCTGGCATGTCCACACACATGTAAACATGTAATCCCCACAGAGAGACCCATTTTAAATGGAAAATAAAATAATACTCAGGAAGTAAATAAAATTCACAAGTCGTAGAAAGTACAGGAACATAACAGGCTCATGAAGCTCTTCAAGGTTATATAAGGAAAAAGCATTCTGCAGGAATGGGGATTTCAGAGCAGCTGAGGTGCCTGTAAATCATGCAGAGGCCCTATTGCCTTGCTGAGGTGGGCTTATCAGTGATGAAGCTACCTTTGAGTGTTCCACATTCCCATAAGCAGCTCTCACCCTAATAAATTCACTCATTTGCTAAACTAGACGCAAAAGACATGTTGATGCTGGGGTTGAAGTGTGTGAATTCACTTCTAGTCTGGACCTTTGGGGTAGGAGGACAAGAGCCTTTAACTGGAGCCATACTGTCTTCTGGACGTCTGTATAAGGACATGGAAGAAGGAAGATTTTGCTCATTACCTTCGTGCACTTCCCTTGCTAGCACATCCATTTCTTCACTGACATTGGAATCTACACCTTTGGAATTCCAGCTGATACAGATGACCAGCTAAGACATCCAGCCTTGTGGGACTGAACAACTAATTTCTTGGACTATCCACGCACTGAAGAATAGCTGGACTGCACCCTGTAAGTCATTCCAGTATATCCCCCTTATATACAGAGATTCATTCCATAAGTTCTGTGACTCTAGAGAAATTTAACGAATACAATAAGCTATATCTTCTCACCCAGTAACTCCAGTAAAAGTTCCTAAGCACATATAAAATAGTGGAATTCAGGATAGTGTTTTCAGACATCCTCAATGATTCCTTCCTTCACTCCCACCTCCTCCACAATACTCACTTTTCGCACTTCATATCACTCGTCCTCTACTTATCCCCTTGGTATTACAGTTCTGTAGAGGAAGAGAATCAATGGAGTGAATATATTTACAATATATGCATAAAACAGAATACTATATTAAGAAGGCTCACATTGAAATAGTATCAACAGCTGAGTGCCAACTGGGAGGCTGAGAACCTGTTGTTTCTCCATTAAAGAGAGTACCTAAACAGTTAGGGCAGCACCACAGTGACTGTCTCTCAGTAGGCAGGACAACAACTCTGCAGTTGCTCAGGTCACAAGGCTGGGTACCGCTGCATTCCCGCCTGGCACAGAAAAACTGGAAGCTTCCTGGAGAATCACTAATCCAGAGTCAGATTCCTGGAAATGTTTGTTCTGACATCAGTGAAGGAACCAGCAGCAGAGACGGCAAATCAACCCACAGTTAGAAGAAATGTCAAGACAGCACAGGGCAAGTCATCATTCCCTGCCTTACACTTGGCATCTGAGTGGGTCTTTCAGCATACGTTTAGGCAATCAGGACATTTCTGGTGCGGCTCCATATCAAGTGACTCTAATTTGTGGCAAGTTGACTTTATAATCAACCTCAACATCCTCCCTAAAGATCTTTCTTCCCTTTCTACAGTGACCCAGTTCCAGCTTCCTGGCTTCCATGATTGTGCCAATTGAATGACTCAAATGCAAAGATTCAGTGCTATGATCTATATATGAGAAAGAATATGTGGTTTTAGACTTCCTGGGTCAGGAAAACATCACACAATGTTTTCAAGGTCCATCCATTGACCCAAGATTTTTGTGATTTTATTTTCCTCTACAGATGAATAAATTCTACTGTATAATGTGTCATGTTTTCATTGCCTATTCATGGATCAATCAATAGACATCTAGACTGTTTCCATTTCCTGGCTATGATGAATAGAAACAGAATGAACATAAATGAGCAAATATCACTGTGGTAAGAGATAGAGTCCTTTGGATATATGCCTAGGATTGAAATATCTGGTCATAGGATGAATCTATTTATAATAGCTTTGTTGGTGTGTTTAAGAAACAAACCTCCGAGGTCTGCGGGCCACGGCGGCGGCGGAGGCAGTGGGCAGACGCTGCCTCCCCGGAGTCGAGCCGCGCTGAGCGCTCCGAGCCGTGTGCCCTTGGCCGCGACCTGGGGCGGGGCGGGAGCCCTCGGAGGCCGCGGCCCACAGCTGCCCACTGGGCTTGGGCGGGGCGCGGGCTGCGCGCTCCGCGGCTCGGTGGTCCCGCCGGGGGCCGGCTGCGGCGGGGGAGGCGGCGGGAACGCGCGGCTCGCCGCTAAGGACGACAAGGCATTCACCAAGGAGCTGGACCAGTGGGTGGAGCAGCCGAACGAGAACCAAGTGCGGACGTTGTGCAAGAAGGCTAAGGAAATTTTAACAAAAGAATTAAATATACAAGAGGTTCGCTGTCCTGTTACTGTCTGTGGAGATGTGCATGGCCAATTCCATGACCTCATGGAACTCTCCAGAATTGGTGGAAAATCACCAGATACGAACTATCTATTCATGGGTGACTACGTAGACAGAGGTTATTATTCTGTGGAGACTGTGACTCTTCTTGTAGCATTAAAGGTGCGCTATCCAGAGCGTTATTACAAGATTGCGAGGAAATCATGAAAGCCGACAGATCCCCCAAGTCTATGGCTTTTATGATGAATGTCTATGAAAGTATGGAAATGCCAATGTGTGGAAATACTATACAGATCTCTTCGACTATCTCCCACTTACAGCTTTAGTAGATGGACAGATATTCTGCCTCCATGGTGGCCTCTCTCCATCCATAAATAACACTGGATCATATAAGAGCCCTGGATCATTTAAAAGAAGTTCCACACGAGGGCCCAATGTGTGATCTCTTATGGTCAGATCCAGATGACCGTGACGGATGGGGCATTTCACCACGTGGTGCTGGCTACACCTTTGGGCAAGATATTTCTGAAACATTTAACCATGCCAACGGTCTCACACTGGTGTCTCGTGCTCACCAGCTTGTGATGGAAGGATATAATTGGTGCCATGATCGGAATGTGATTACCATTTTTAGTGCACCCAATTACTGCTACCACTGTGGAAACCAGACTGCTATCATGAAATTAGATGACACTTTAAAATATTCTTTTCTTCAGTTTGACCCAGCACCTCGTCGTGGAGAGCCTCATGTGACCCGGTGTACCCCAGACTACTTCCTGTAAATTCCTCCCCAGGACCTTTCTTTGTATGTGGGAGTATACCTGGATTTTTAAAATATGTATATATTTTTAAATATATATATATTTAAAAACAAGTTATCTATGTGTTTCTGTAACAAATTGTGGTATGTCTTGACATTAAACTACATCATGGACCAAACGTGCCATACTAATGATGAGCGTTTAGCACAATTTGAGACTGAACTTAACTACACTGTGTTCTAGATCAGTCTGCCTGCTGTGTTGTAGGAACCATTCTTCTTGGCTAGTTAAACAAAAAGGGGTCACTGACTGCTTCATCTCCTTTGCACCTGGAAATTTAGTTACAGTCTTTAACTGGCATAGATTAATAGAGTCAGAGTTTTATTTTTAAGATTTCACCACCTGACTTCCACTTAATTCATTACCCTTTATTTTATTGAAATGTGTAACTAACTGAAGAAGAGATTCTTGGGAGTATGTTGTCATAACATTAAAGAGATTTCCTTTCATTTAAACTAAATTACTGTTTGATGTTGATCTGCATTATTTCTGTATATTTGTCATGACAGTGCTTGCATCCTATTTGGTGTACTGAACAAATAAACTTTCCAACTTAAACAAAAACATTTTAGCTGTGAATTGCTGTATACATTAAATGGAAGCACCACCATTTTAAAACTTGATACAAATACTCAAGTCTGTGGCTGGTTTTCACTAACTTTGGCTTTTGAGATGGCCTTGTATAGTCCCAGATGACCTTGAACTCCTTGGTTCTCCTGGCTCTACCGCCCAAGTGCTAGGATTACAGGTGTAGGACACCTTGCTGAGTCACAAATATCTGATGTGTAATAAGAATAAGAAGCTGTACTGACAGGAATTACCTGGTAAATTTAGGGGCTGGGGATTAACTCTGGTAGGGTGCTCATTTATATTCATTCCCAGGTTATATGTGCACATGCAAGTACACACACACACACACACACACACACACACACACACACGAGTAATGTTTGTTTATAGTTTACATTTAAAGCAGAACAAAGTCAAGTATTTGCTGATAACTTTTAGACCATTAAAAATCCATTTTCACACCCTGTTGTCATTGTTCTTGCTGATTTGTATCTTCCATTGCTGGCTGGCTTACCTCTGCTCTGGTCACTGGTTTCATGTGGAATTTAAGAAATACTTTTGTTGACTTTATGGAATCCCCAATCTTTTGTAAGATTTGAAATTTCATCTTTATTCTGTTATAAGACCATGTTAGCTTGAAATATGAGAGTAGGCATTAAATATTAAGTTGAAAAAATCCATTTTCACATTTCTAAACAAAAAAGAAAAAGAAACAAACCTCCACAACAATTTCCATAATAGCTACACCAGTTTGAACTTCCACCAAGTATGAATGAGCGTTTTCATTACCCCCACATCGTGGCCAGAAATTGTTATTCTTTCTTTTCTTTTTCCTTTTTCCCTATTTCTGAAAATACAAATTCTCACATACTATATCCTGGTTACAGTTTCCCCTCCCTGTAATCCTCACAATTCCCCCACATCTCATGTCCCATACAGATCCATTCTCTTTCTGTCTCTCATTAGAAAACAAACTTTCAACAGATAACAATAAAATAAAAAATATATAATAAAATATAATATAACATAGCAAAAACTAACAAACAGAAGGAAAGGAGACCAAGAGAAGGCACAAAAAACAGAGACCCACTGGTTCCCATACTCAAAAATCCCATAAAAACCCCAAACTGAATGCCATAAGGTGGGCATAAAGGGCCTTGTGTAGACACGTCTGCTTCTTTGGTGTCCTCCAATGCCTCTGGATCTTACTCTTCTGAATGACACCAAGAGTCTTGAGGGGAGGGATATGGTGAAGACACCCATTTAGATCTCAGTGTTTCAAGGTCTCTTAATCTCTTCCTAATGTCTGGCTTTGGGTGTCTGCATTTGTTCCCATCTGCTGCAGGAAGAAACTTCCCTAATGACAGCTGAGCAGGCCACTGATCCTGTGTACAGCAGAATGTCATTAGGAATCATTTTATTGCTACTTTTATTTTAGAACCATAGTATTTGGGTTTGCCCTACGTCCCTGGGATATCTAGTCTCCTTAGTCTCTGATTCTTGGTCACACAAGAGGTGTTAGATATGGATTCTAACTTGGATTTTGTTGCTTGTGTCACTATATTGGGAGTTATCTATGTAGAATCACTTCTTTTCTTGGCTTTAGTTTTATCGTCTATGTCCATTCTGATGAAGTATTTGCATTGTTCAAGTGGAACATGGAGATGTTATTGTTGAGTTGTACTTTAGAAAATAATTCCTCAGACAGGAGGTGTGGGTATCATGTATAAGCTCTATATCATCCCCTAAGCAAGATATTAATTAGGAGAAAAACCACAGATGTTTGAAACTACCACTATGTAATTAGCACCCAGATAATCATAACAGTGACCCTCAGACTTCAGAAACTGTTGACAGTAAACACAGATTACTTTGAAAACTATTTGGGATTGTAGTCAACAAAATTAGGAGATAAAGGGCAGTGAGACAGGTAGAAATAAGGATTAGGTATTAAATGAACTTTGAAAAGATAGGATGGGTAAAATGGTATCTGAAAAGATAGGGTGGGTAAGTGTCCTAGTTTACTCTTTGTTTATGAGATAAGCATTGTGACTGTGGTGGTTGGAATGTCAATACCCCCCATAGGCTTATATATTTAAATAACTGGTCAAATTATTCATGGAAACGTTTGGAAGGATTAGGATATTTGATCTTGTTGGAGGAGGTGTGTTACTATGCTCCCAAAACTTCAAAGCCCATGCCATTCATTCCCAGATAGCTCTGTCTTCCTCAGGTTGTGAATCAAGATGTAGGCTCTCAGTTATTGCTGCAGCACAATGCACTCCTACTGCCATACTCCACACCATGGTAGTCTTGGACACATCCTCTGAAACTGTAAGTTCTAAATAAATTCCTTTTTCCATACATTGCCTGGATCATATTGTTTTATCACAGAAAAAGAAAAGTAAAGACAATGACCAAAGGCAACTTGTAAGGGACAGGATTTCTCTTATCTGTTTTTTCTCTTACCGTTTTTTTTTTATTTAAATTAGAAACAAGCTTGTTTCACTTGTCAATTTACCTTCCTCCCCATCTCTCCCCACCAGGCCCCCCAGTCCCCCAGCCACTCTCCACTCTGATTCCCAGAGAGGGTGAGGCCCTCCATGGTGGATCTCCAGAGTCTGTCATGTCATCCAGATAGAGAAAATGTGGTACATTTACACAATGGAATACTATTCAGCGGGGGAAAAAAACAATGGAATCTAGAAATTTGCAGGCAAATGGATGGCACTAGAAGAAACCATCCTGAGTGAGGTAACCCAGTCACAAAAAGAGAAACATGGTATGTACTCACTCATATATGGATTTAGGGGTGAATTAGGGGAGTGCCAGCATACAATCCCATTGCCAGAGAGTCTGGGAAACAGAACCTTCATCCAACGACTGATGAAAGCAGAGGCAGATACCCACAGACAAACACTGAACTGAACTCCTGGAATCCAGTGTCAGAAAAGGAGAACTGATGGGCAAAGGATTTAAGACTGGGCTGCTTTAACCCGCAGAAACAG